AATACTTAATATTTCTCACATCACATGTGTCAAGACAGGAAGTGTAGTTGCTGGTGCTGAGTTTATTTCTTTGATGATGAGGTGATGTTTGTTGCCAGTTTTATTTCCTTATTTTAATCTGTTTAAATTTGCTCTCTTTTACTATCCAAAGCCAGATACTTCATCTTGAAATGCTTTTCACCATTACACTTTTCATTGTTTGCTAATCTCTTATAGCAGGCTGTACCTTCTGAGGAGGCTGAGGTCTTTTGGAGTACAGGGGCCACTCCTCATGACCTTCTACAACACAATGTCGGCATCAGTCATTTTCCAGGGACTAGTCTGCTGGAACAGCAGCATTTCAGCTGCGGACAGGCTGAACAAGCTGATCAGAAGGGCCAGTTCTGCTCTTGGGACCTCTCTGGAACCCGTGGAGGTGGTGGGAGACAGGAGAATGTTGGTCAAACCTTCCTCCACGATGGAGATGGTCTCCCACCCCATGCAGAACTTTTTTAACAACACTGAGCAGCTCCTTCAGTGAGAGGCTCCTTCACCCCAAGTGTGTGAAGGAGCGATTCATGAAGTCCTTCCTCCCTGCTGCTGTCAGATTGTACAACAAGCACTGCACCCAGTAGACCACCATACACACTCCCCCTCTCTCTCTGTCTCTCACTCACACACGCACACACACACACACAGAACCTCATCATGTACAACCAATGTCAGAAATCTAAGTGCAATTTGTATATAGTAATTTATCTTGTTTAACTTATCTTTACTCTATATTCTTCGTTTTTCATGCTTGCTGATTATCTTGCTGTTGCAATGCTATTAATTTCCTAATCTTGGGACAATAAAGGAATTCTGATTCTGATCTCTCACTGCAGATCAAACCTTAATTCCAATAAATCAGCAGTACGATGATGACAGCAAAAAAATCTACTTTTGAGCTTGTCAAACAGGAGCCAGGCTGCGATTTATTATATAATGCATATTTTAGAGGACACCTTGTTAAAGCATTTTTACAGTTAGGTTAGACTGGTTTTAGGGCTACAAGTATGTTAGCAACATGTACAAAAAGTAATTGAAACCTTTTTGTGGCAAATAAAAGCTGAAGAGCTGCATGTGGAGCTGTGAGTTGTTGAACCCTGTTCAGTGATTCTCATGTGAACCATGATTGTCTGTGCCAAATTTCATGTCTATCCATCCATGTTGAAATTTCCCCAGTGTGGGATGAATAAAGTCGATCTTATCTTATCTTATCCAACAGAGCTACTTCAGTCCAGACCAAAGTTGTGGACCAACTGACTCAGCAAGGTTTTCATCCCTATAAAAAAACCTTATAAGGCTCAAGTTTAATGAAATAGATTTGCTGATGTTCCATGAGACACTGTGTACTTACCCTGCAGCCATGTGATGCCACGCCTGTGCAGTTTCTAGGGCTGCTCAACATCCACTTCCATCTTCCAGTCACTAGAGGGTGTGAGTCTCAAAGCAAACCTGTACTGTGAGATGCGTGTTGCAGTCGGCTCACAGCTACAGTTCCTAACCACGCCTCTCTTTTCTCAGAGTTATCTGCATTAAGTTGTGTAACACAGTGCTCTGTAGAGTGTAGACTTCATTCATGCGTTGTGGAGGTTTTCGGTTCCCAAAGGCATCACTGAGTGTAGCCAAAAAAGCTTGGAAAAGCCTTGTTAGTGTGAATATCTTACAGTTTGAGCTCAACATTAGACCGCCTATCCATCCTCAGTGGTTTGGGGTACTTAAAAACTATACCCATATGGTTGAACAAATAATTTCATCATTAAGCCTTCATGATACTTTTAGATACATAAAGAAAAAAGATATTTACAAGAACTTGTCGCCAAGACTAATGGGAAGGCCTCTGAGGACCAGTGTATGGATATTAGCTCTGCTGTCTTTTATGGAGTAAAATGGCACTAGTTAGATAGCTTTAATGACAAGAAATGATCTGGGATTGAACTGTCTGTCTGTTCTGCAGGTGGCTGATTGATGCGACCTGAAGCACCTGAGGTCCATTGTGTGTAGGTTACATAAATCCTGCCTGCCTGATCAGTCTCGCTCTGCTGCTCTCCCCAGGCACTTCATGTTCCTGTCGGGTTCTGTTCTTCTTTTAGGTTATCTTTATGTTTTCTTTACTCCCTACAACATTTGCAACCACGCCCTTCACTCACGCACACTCTACACCACTGACTTTACTGAATTCCACATTTCATATGTTAACTCTTGATTTGGCATTTGGTTGGTATGGTTGATAAATAAAATACACTTTACCTAGCATACTGGTGTGTCTCCCTTTTTGTTGGGGCCACTTGAGCTGGGTCATGACAACATAAACTGTGAAACAATGCAAGTACATGATGGGTATTTCACCAACCTTGGTTTCTTGTGAGAACTGTGAACAGCTTACAAGTAATCTCTGCTCAAGTTTTTTCCTGTCCACTCTACCTATAATGTGAATGCATCTCAATCCCACCCTGCAGCTCTACAATCACAGTCACTTCATGTTAAAATTGTGAACAGTTCATTAACAAGCATCATTGTTTCAAACTAAAAATTATTTATATCCAACCCAACATTAACTCCTCTGCAAAACCCCACTAACCCCTTTATGATCAAGTCCTTTGAATAGTTAAATGAAACTGATAATGCTATGTGTGCAACAAATCAGTGCATATTTTGAATCGGTATGAACAGTGAGCATGAGCCCCAAGCACACGTTACATGCATGAATGCTAACATCATGCTAACACCTACTAAAACTATGTTCAGCGTTTAGCTCATTTTCCCCAGAGAATTAGCCACAATTTTTCGTGTAACTTTAATTAACACTGCTTTTTAAAAACCACCTGTTTTCTTAACTTAAATTCAACGTTTCGCTGTCGTCAAAATGAACCCATTAACCCTGTATGTTCCAGCTGATTAATGCAAACATCTTATTTGTTTTAGCAATGACATGATGTTTTTACAAAACAAGACAGAAAAAAAAAATATCTGGACCAGAAGGTAGGTAGGTAGACAGATAAGTAGGTGGGTGGGTGGGGTGGATAGGTAGCTAGATATATTGGTTGGTAGTAGTTAGGTCAGAAGATAGGTGTAGGTTACTTACGCCTCTACTTTTAACTTGCTATGCACCATCAAGACCTCACTGAATGTCGCAGTCAATAAGTCAGCGGTTGTGAAATAGGTTTGTTTCTTATCTTTGCTAATTGTCCTCTCTCATATCCTCCAACAACTAATCTTCCCTCCACCCCTATTTTCCAACTTGTAGCATGTACGTGTGTCTCTCAGCACATTCCAGACTTGATGTGTCATATTGCAGCTTCATACAAACCAAAACATCACCGGCCTCTTAAGAGACTAAAGGTCAGGGGGTGATAGCTTGGTAAATGACCCCCCTCACTCTCCTCATGCACAAAGAATGATGCGTTGTCTCATGTGGAGTATAAAGCTTTAACCATGTTTCACCCATCAAAGAAAAATTAAGGCAGCTCTGTTGAACAGTTGATACATTTGTCGGAGAGAGTGAGTTACTGAGACGACAAAAACTGGCTGACTTGTACTTATATGGTTGCCTCCAAGTTTAGCACAGCCACACCATTGTGAAGAGTCACGTCACTGCTTAAGGCAAGTCAAGCAAAAATGCATTTTTGGATTGGTATAAAAAAGGGCATGTACCTGTCAGGATTTTAAAATGTACTAATCACATTTAGTTGCCATGCAGCAGAGAACCCTGGGATTTGGCAAAGTTTTTTCCCCAAAACCATTTAAAACTTGGAAAAGAAAAGAATAGAGGTGTTGTGTGAAAACGTTGGAGCCTGAGGGGCCAAGTGGGTGTTTCTCTGGTACAATCCAGACAACAGCCATGAAACTGCTCAGAAAAGATCATGAGTCATTAATCTATCAACTGTGTCAAGCCTTGACCGAATCATGATTTCCACTGTTTGAGATGATTGTCGAGGTACATGTTTCTTTCACAAATCATCTATCTATCTATCTATCTATCTATCTATCTATCTATCTATCTATCTATCTATCTATCTATCTATCTATCTATCTATCTATCTGTCTGTCTGTGTAGTTCCCTGTCTTGTGCAGTCTCAGTCTTTATGGGTACATATCAGTACTTTTATGGCTGTGTAAAACTACTCTTGGCGTCCAACAGAAAATATAAAAGACAAACTCTGTTTGCTCTTTTCTCGGCTGATACGGAAGGAATGTTCATCAATAATCCGTGTGTGTGTGTGTGTTTGTGTGTGTGTATTTGCAGGGTTTGGTCTGCTGATCATCCAGTAAACTGCAACTTTAAATGCAGTATTCTTTTTTCTTTGAAGTCTGACCTGTAAAGGTCCAATTTATTTGTATTTGCCTTTTTAAAAAGCTTGTAAAGATAAATAGATAGCGAAACATATTCAGTGGGTAAAATGGGTTCTCCTTTATTTACGAGACTGACAGTCCCTGCCCACAAACACATAAAGACCATCCCGCAGGGCAACTACAATTTACTTTGCAATATATCACATCCGTGAGAACTGTAGCAAAGGAGAGGTCATAAAATCATTTGCTTGTTCATTATACCCCAGGTTTGACTTGCTGTGTGTGCATGTGCTGAGTTAATTTTTTTGTACAACATGGAGGTAAACTCTTTGTCCCCCTGTTTAAAGTACAGTGTATCTTTGTGAATTCAGTTTGTGTCATTATGATGTAAAGCATGGAAAATAAAGTTTGACAAACATGGTTAATGTGGACAAAACTCTGAGTTTTCCAGTATTTCTGCAGGGGTTTTATAGAAACTGGCACGTTGACTATTATATAATTCCTTTTTTTTCTCCACCATGGTTTGTGTGCTGTAAATGTGTAACATGATGCAATTTTCTTCCCTGACAATCCCTCACCCCCCCGTTCTTCACTCCCCTGCCGAGGAAGGCAGCCAATGGCACCTCAGCAGGGTCCCTCCCCTGCTCTGATAAATAGCACATTGAGTACCAGAGAGGTTCTATCTGCCTGACTGTCCTTCTCTGAGCAGTCTCTCACCACCTCAGTGCTACAGACTCCCTCTGTAACCATGTCCGTCAGAGCCTTGAAGACATCCACTTACTCCACTGTGTCTTCTCACAGGGGCCCATCCCAAAGCTTCAGCAGCCGCTCCTTCTCTGGCTACGGTGGTGCCAAGCAGAGCCAAGCTGTCCGCAGCTCCTACGGGGGAGTGGGCAGCAGTGGTGCTACTGTGGGTGCCGGGGGGTTTAAGGTGGTCGGTGGGTACATTGCTGGGGGTGCTGCGCAAAGAGGTGGCGGGGTAGAGTTCGGCTACATGGGATTTGGTGGAGGTATGGGAGGTGGCATGGCCAATGAGCTGGTGGCCCCCATCACGTCAGTGACCGTGAACAAGAGCCTACTGGCGCCCCTGAACTTGGAGATTGACCCCAGCATTCAAGTGGTCCGCACCCAGGAGAAGGAGCAGATCAAGATCCTCAACAACCGCTTCGCCTCCTTCATTGACAAGGTCAGTCCATATTATAGATCAGTGCCATTGTACCAGAAGAAAATGGTCTTTTATATCAGAAGGGCCACATGAGGAAATCTGCAACAACCAGCATATATGCATGATGCTTTGTTCTGTTCTCACAAAAAACTATCCAGCACAGAGTAGAAATTAACTCAGAAGCCTCAGAGGAAATGAGTGCTCTGCAAGCCAAAATAGCTCAAGGTGAAAGATGTCCGAATAGAGATCCTGTTGAGACAATCCCGAATAAAAAACTGGACATTCATCCACTAACAGCTAAGCACTGAGATTCCATGTGTAGGAAAGTGAAAAGATATATAATATGTTGAGATCCTTTGACTCAGATGAGAGGATCTACCTGGATACAAAGTTTATACACGGCTGACATGAGGAGCAAAATGATTTTGCTTGAAGGAATACTATACATGCACATGTGAGCAATAATCTGCAACAGAGAGTTTATGAAAGTAGACAAAAGGACAGATATATTCTTGTACTTGTGTCATAAATCCATTCTTACACTGTAAGTATTGTATTGTAATGTGTATTGTAATGTGGGAGTTTTCAGATTTCATTGAGTGGGTAGTCACAAACTGTACAAACTCTTACAGAAGGAGAAAGGGAGTGGCAGGATGAAGGTTTACATAAGAGAAGCATGGTACATACTCAGAGGAGTACATCACAACAGTAAAATAATTATCTGCTAAAAAACAATTTTCAAATGAATGTTTTCCTCGTCAGAAATGTCTTATTCATTTAGAGACAGCAGCTCAACTGTTCTCTAATTGAGATTGATCAGATTGTTCAATTATCTGTCACTGTTACTCATAAATCTGTCTATTGTTTAAGGAGCCACCCAGCAGTGATGCAAGTTAACCTACGAATCAATCACGCTACAGGAATTCTTCAGTCATAAAACAAAGCTCTCTCCCCTCCTCAACACACATGACATATTGACACATGCCCACACAGAACTGCATGTCTCTTGTCGTGTTTGCCGAGTGGAAGCGGAACCCCACCCAGGGTCAGGGTGCTGAATAGGAAATTCGAAAGGGGGCGAGCTGTGTCACAATTGTGGAACAGTGCCACATTGTGTTAAATCACGGAAGTATGGGTCAGAATTTGGTGATCAGTTATTGATGTTACATCCAGAGGTTGTTGTAGGTTCAAGAAGTTCAGTCATTTTTCTTCTAGTTGACGTTTTTCTTTGTCCATGTCCCTCAGCAAACAAAGTGAGACCATTTTTTCTGAGTCACTCTCACCCTCTATGCACTCAATGAGACCCTCCATCCTATTTAAAGTACACAGTGTTGTATTTTTTAATATCATATATCCAATCTTTAATTGATCAGACTGGTGAGGTCTATATCGTCAAACAAATATGAAACTTGGACAATCTCAGTGAAGCAAAGTTGCAGAGCTGCTCATTTGCCCTTTTCTTTTGTCTTCACGCACTTCTCTCTTTGCAGGTACGTTTCCTGGAGCAGCAGAACAAAGTACTGGAGACCAAATGGAAACTTCTGCAGGAACAGACCACGTCTCGGTCCAACATCGACACCATGTTCGAAGCTTACATCGCCAACCTGCGCAAGCAGCTCGACAACTTGGGTCATGAAAAAGTCAAGCTGGAATCTGACCTGCATCACACGACAGGCCTGGTCGAGGACTTCAAAACCAAGTGAGTGGAGATGAATCTGAACCAAACATCTTGCACTAACCGGGCAAGGTCCAGAATTTAATAACTTCAGTGAATGAATCAATTGAAAGTGATTGTAAATATCCTGTCTATAGCCTGACTGGCAGATTGTGACCAATACAACATAAATATTCTGGCGTTTAAAAATTTGAAAGCATATTTGGACACATATTTAGTTCACAGCAAATATTGATTTCTTTTGAAATGTTATCTAGATACAAACTTGGCTTTATAATGTAAAATGTAACTTTTCAGTGCTCTCTGGTGGACAAACTATGTAATGAAGCTACAGTTTCTAAGTTTCTCACCTAATTGGCCATTTGTCTGCTGGAATTTCATGTTACATATTGGTTTGCTCATAGACAGATGCAGTCTGCAATAAAAAGGTAATACCAGTCTCACACTATTCTTTGGTGTGAATATTTGAATCGGTGTATATGCCACATTCATGCATTATACTGTCTTGATCTTTATATTTACCAAGGGTTATTTTCAAACTCAAGAAAAGGTGTTCTCTGCTGCCTTTTCAAATTTAGCATGTGACATTAACATTTGTTCATGTTCCGTTTTCCAGGTATGAAGATGAGATCAACAAGCGCAATGAATGTGAGAACAACTTTGTCCTCATGAAGAAGGTCTGTTCTGATTATTGATATTGATGTAATAATATGATGAGGCTTTGAGCACAATGAGCCCACACAATGGCTACTTGTACCTCAGGTTAAGGCCTGTACCCAACAGCGATTTCCTCTCAGTGTCGTCTTTTTTTCATCTGCAGGAAACAGATGCAGCCTTCATGATTAAGACAGACCTTGAAGCCCAACTCGATGGGCTCTCTGATAAGATTGACTTCCTCAGGCAGATCTACGATGCAGTAATAACTTACATTTATTCTGATTCTTAAAATCTTCATAAATCTGTCTTTGCATGTCTGTTCATCTTCGGTTCATGTTTTCCTATGTAGGAAATCATGGAGCTCCAGGGCCAGATCAAGGACACATCCGTTGTGGTGGAGATGGACAACAGCCGTTACCTTGACATGGACGCCATTGTCGCTGAGGTGCGCGCCCAGTATGAGGATATCGCAAACCGCAGCAGAGCAGAGGCTGAGTCGTGGTACCAGACCAAGGTGAGACCTGATCCCCACTACCACAGCATGCTGTTGTCTGAGGACAAACACAAAGTTATTTCGGTGTTAGCTGCACAGTACAACGTTCATTAGATTGATGTGGTTGGTGTAGAATGACCCTCTTTTTTTGCCCCCTTGGCAAAAACTTACTGCTACTTATTTTCTCATTTCTCAAAAGTCTCATGAGCACAGAAACTAAACTAAAAGATACCCAGATTATTAAGATGCCTTTTCATGTGTTAGTCTGACTTGTTCCTTTCTGTATCAGTACACAGAGATGCAGCAGTCCGCTGGCAAATATGGTGAAGACCTGAAATCGACAAAGGCTGAGATCGCTGAAATGAACCGCAGGATAATGAGGCTCCAGTCTGAAATTGACATGGTTAAATCACAAGTGAGGATTTCAGTTGCATATGTTTTGACACGTTTCACAGTAATAGGGCTTTGTTAGATAACTTTTATTTTTATATGAAGTAGAAAAATGTGTCCTAATAAAGACATCCAACTTAATTTTTCCATCTCCACTATTAGCGAAACAATTTGGAAACTCAGATCGCAGAAGCTGAGGAACGTGGTGAGCTGGCAGTGAAGGATGCGAGACTCCGCATGAGAGAGCTGGAGGAGGCTATGCAGAGAGCCAAGCAGGACATGGCCCTGCAAGTCCGCCAGTACCAGGAACTGATGAACGTGAAGCTGGCCCTGGACATTGAGATCGCCACCTACAGGAAGTTGCTGGAGGGAGAGGAGGACAGGTAAGATATCGCTGTCAGAGCAAGTAATGAAAACGGCATCGTTTATATTTCAGTATGTCTCATAGTATTTTGCTTTTTCTTGTCTTGCTCTATTTGTCTCTTCAGGTTAGCATCTGGAATCAAGACCAATATATCAAAACACACATGTAAGTTTCACAGATGTTTTTGCCATTTTATAATATAAACCCATGGAAACAACATAAGAGGGAGGTAAAAAAAATCACATATTACAATAAACCTAAGCATATAAAAGGATAATTCATGTTCACAGACAGGCTTCTGTATCTATTTCTATCTATAGCTATCTTCTCCTATTTCTGACATGAAAAACTTCCCCAAAGCCTTTGCTCATACAAAAAGATATTAAATACAGTCTAATGTGCACATAATTGCATGTAAATATCAACTCTATTGCCACCTTTTTAGGTCCATTTTAATCTTTACCTTTTACTTGTGCATGTGCAGCTGTGAACTACAGTGCCTACGGCCTAGAGAGCTCCCGCACCCCAGTCTACGCCAGCAGCTCCTTTGGAGGATTCAAGGCCAGCAGCGGTGCCATCACTGCCCTGGAGGGAGGAGCTTTAAAGAGCACAACAGTCACCAAGACAGAAACTGTGGTGATGAAGACAGAGGAGAAGAAGATAGAGGAGACAAAGATAGAGGAGACGAAGACAGAGGAGAAGGAGACAGAAGTGAAGGAGGAGAAGGAGGAGCTGGAGGAGCAGGCAGTGATCGAGGAGCCGGCCACAGTGGAGCAGAAGGAGCAGGAACAGGTGGAGGATGTGGCTGAGGCTGAGGCTGAGGCTGAGGCTGTGGCTGAGGCTGAGGCTGTGGCTGAGGAGTGATGAGTTCAGGTTTATGGTTTTTGGTCTTGGTTGTTAAGAAAAAACACTCTTGCTCTTCCCTCCAGTTTTTTAATGGTTCGTTCACCAAAGTGCCTGCACTAAATACACAGACACAACTTTCTGTCTGATGAACAGGTGCTAAATAATGAGATTATATTCTGGTCTTGTGAAGGCGTATAAATTCAGTGTGTGTGCGTTTTATCAGTGTAACTGTGGCCTGACTGCACCACACAGGTTTAGCCAACAGGTGGCAGTGCTGTATCTGTTTTCCTCTGCTGATGGTTTGAACAACATGAAGCACAGTAAAAACTCTAACTTCAAATTAAATCAATTTTGATATGAGCACTGTCGAGGAAAATAAAGCATCACCATGCTAAACTCCTTGTGCTAAAACTGCTGTATCCAAACAGTAAAATATAAATCAAATGCACTTCATGACTTTTACTTAGAAAAACTTTTGTGGTTTTTCAGTGTGCTGCTGTTGGCAACACCTGGGGTCCTGTTTGCACAACAATAAATCTTCTTTAAACAGTAATTTACATTGTGGTACTTTGTATTTTGAAGTTATATTCCCACAAACATTTAAATATTTCAGGTACTTAAAGGTACAGTGTGTAGAATCTAGTGTTGAAATTGCATGTTGCAGCGGAACATCCCCCACCTCACCCTCCCCTTCAACATACATTCAAAGAAACTGGGAAAACATGTGGAGAATGTGTTATGTAGTTTTTCAACTAGATTAAGTCAAGACACATACACATTAAATTACATTAAACTTTTAACACAGTTCTAAAAAGAAAATGAACTTGATGGAAAAATGATTTTCCAATCATGAACCTTTGCTCTGGAACACCCGACAAATCTCAGCCTCCCTCTGCCATAGGTACATGCTCCAGGAGTTTCTTTTGAGCAGCCTGACATAATTCAAAGATCATGCATTCTTAAACAAATGTCTGGAAATGTCATATTCTCAATATCTTTAGCACATACAAAAAAAACCCAATCCAACTTGTAGTTAAACTCAACAAGGCCAAGATTGTACGGAGGAGTTTGAGTGAGAAACCAATGTGGAATTTGGGATTTATTGAGGAATAGATAATTTTTCTCTATAGAGTGACTGCTTTCTCTAGGGGCCCTTTCAGCCCCGGAGGAACGGGTTTGAACATGGTTAATCTGTGGTGGTGCCACACCCAAGACTGTACAGGCGCTTGTGAAATAAAAGACAGAAACCTGCAGAAATCCCACCCACCGTTCATCGTTTTTTAACAGATGTCTGGCAGCTGACATTCACCTGAACATGACTCAGGCCTGAGCACGATAAATGATTAAAGAGAACACATTCTGTTAATACTCATATAGATGTTCACAACAGTAGGTGACCTGTGGTGACAGTGATAGCTGAAAACCTTGCCCATGGTCTTAACATGCTTGACATTTCTGTGCAGTGTAATCTGTGAAAAGCTGTGGTGACTTATTATAACTCTGCTATGACAGAGTTACAAATACTGCATAACAAGAAAAACCAAAAATCACATTCAGTTTTTTACTTTAATCAAAATCACCACGCTTGTATCGGTGTAGGCCTAAATAAAGGCCCAAGGCTACAACCTGGAGAGCGTTAGCTTAGCTTAGCAGAAAGTGTAGAAACGGAGCAACAGCTAGCATAGCCCTGTCTAAAGTTAACATCTCGCGAGCTCGATAATTGACATGTTCAAGATCTTGTTTGTTCTATCCACACAACAACTAAATGTAAAAATACAAATCAAACTTGGCTTGGAGGACAAGTCATTTTAAAAAAGTTTTTTTGTGTATTATTGTGTAAGCATGCCAATGTTGCAGCAGATGCATAAGTCCTATTATATACATGACTGGTCAATTTATGGGCCATCGTATTTTTGAGTTTCTTCTGTAAAACCACTACAGCTATCAGATAAATGCAGTGAAGCAAAAAGTTCAAGTTTTAAACTTCAAATAATTTAGGCCCAGTCCCAATTCCTCTCCCTCCGCCCTGCCCCTAGATATGAAGTGCCCTTCGCTGGTAGTGTCCCCTCCAAACGGAGCCACAAGGGAGAGGGCTAGAAAATCTTCCACTATAAGAGTTGGGACACCACTCGCTATGTCATCAGCAGCCAACCAACGTATTACAGTGACAAATAATATGATATAAAATAACATTATTACATAAACAATCGTCATCAACCACATTCTAACAGTGACACATCTGACAACTGCAGGGCAAATGGGACAGATTGATCTGTTGCTGAATACACAGTCATTCAGTACGTTTTCATCTGTTACAATGTAACTTTGTTCTTGTGCATAGAAACTCCTGCACCACACTGAAAATGTTCTAACATGAGAGGGAAATTTTTGTCACGCAGCATTTTCATTTGCATATTCTGGAGGAATGATCCTTTTTTAGATTGCATACTTTTACCCACAGCGGTGACGATGTTGATTTGTTGACTACTTTGAGTTGCAACATTTACTGTAGCTATAGCTTTTTAGCTTTGTCCCTGGCATGACATAAATCCTGGGACAGGTTGGCTGGAGAGGGATCCACCCTTTGGATCCTTTGTTTTTTTTTACTTTGTCTCCTTAACTAACCATTTGAGGTTGAGCATGAACCTTTGAGTGTCATGTCGGAGCTCATTTGATTGTTTTGTTGCTGTGACACATGTTCAGCTGCTGTTACTGTAACGCAGACATTCTCATGCTGCTGGTGATTCTGCCAGTAGTTCTGCTGTTTACAATAGATGCATATACTTGAATGTGCAGTAATCATAACATTGCACGTGTTCGTTCACTGACAGTTGCCCAATCTACCCCGAGGAGACTCTGCAGATGACACCGAACCAGGATCATTCACTCTCTTTGTCTCTGCTGAACTAAGGATGAACTAATGATCCAGTTCCAGCTGGAACAGGAAGCACTGTTACAGTAATGCTGCAGGCCTTTGTGTTGAAAACCTAACGTAAGCCAAGACTTATGTTTTATTATCTTTATTATTATGTTATTTCTACCTTGAATTGCATTGATTATATAAAGATACTTGCCTCACCTAACAAATAAATGCTGTGTGGGAGACAAAAAGAGCTTACAGATATTTTGAGGATGTGTTTAAATGAGTAAAAAATGTACTTGGCTGCATTCCCATTTGATGATTGATTGATGTGGAGGCCACATAAACTCTTATTCCATCTTTGAAAACCCGGGGTTGACATTATGCCTTGCAGTCAGTTTTAACTTATGTAATATACACAATAAGCCTCTGTCTAATAGAGTATGGTTGACTTCCCCATGGCGGTCTTCAGAGTAAATATGTTCACACCTCAATGAGAAAAGAAAATCTAATAATGCTCTTGCCTCAGTCATCTGCCTGCAGGCGAATGCTCTAACACTCCACTTGTTATGGTGTGTTTGTGTTTGTGTGTGTGTGTGTGTGTGTGCATGTGTGTGTTTCTCTATGCATGCGTGCATATGCGTGTGTTTCTGCATGTGTGGGCATGCATGCATGCATGTGTGCGTCTGTGTGTAGGTGTGTGTGTGTGTGGGGGGGGGCATGCGTGCGTGCATGCGTGCGTGTGTGTGTGTGTGTGTGTGTGTGTGTGTGTGTGTGTGTGTGTGTGTGTGTGTATGTGTGTGTGAGATCAGGCCACAGTTCCTTCAGAAGACTCTCAGTCAGCTTCAGCACTCTTTAAACAATGCTGGTTTGTTGGTACAGGCTTGTGTGTACAGCACCTTGTGTTACATTTGTAATACACAGTGCTTGATTAGAAAACATCCCACAGGGACACAGTGAACACTGAGCTTGCAGTGAGTCAGTTCATGAGCTCATGAAATAGAAACTTTTGTTTCAACAAATATATTAAAATGTCTGACGCAAACTTTGGCTGCCAGGCGGTTCACAACTTTTCTCACTGCGCACAGTTACAGACGTAAATCCTATCCTCAAGTAATTCTTCATTCACCTTCACTGCCAATAAAGAGACAGATTGACTTGCATAAAACATTAGCACTTGTTGTCTCTCCAGGTATTCTGGGAAATATGTGTCAGATTTAATAGCCTCTCAACACTAAAACTACACCAGCGGCAATAGGTTTATTCACTGCAGCAATTTGTCTAATCCAGGATTTGTCTGTTCAGGACTTGATATAAAAATGGAACAAGACTGAGTAAGTGTTATTACACCGTAAAAAAGAAAAGACATGCTCTCTCAACTTGACAAACTGGTCTGAATTCCTCTGCTGGCCTACAGCGAAAGCAGCCAGCCAGCCAGGATTAAAGTCAGTGGAGTATTTACCATTGTGAATGCCTGCTACAGGTGTGCCCATTTTTCTGTATTATAAAACAATCATATTACATTTGAAAATAAAATAAAAATATGTGAATGAAATATTTATGAATGATTAGAATGAATTAAATTTTCATTATAGAAACATTTGAGGGTTACAGCTCATATAAAACAATCTAAAACAGCTTGAAAAGCATTGAGGGAAGTGGGCTTCATAAAAGTGAAGTTCACGGCAGAGCTGTTGTATTGAAATGCATTGATTGTACAGATGTACCTAATAAAATGGCCTCTGAGTGACATCCAAAGTTATCACTGAATTCACATGTTGTGATTGCAACACTCTGACAGGTAAACCCTCCTTCAGAATAAAGGCCACATAATGAGTGTTCTCAATCTAGGGTGGTATAGAACTGTTCTGAATGATAATAAATCCACGATCACTGTGAAAGAAAATCTCCAATTCAGAAAAGGAATCCTCTGTTGAAGCAACTCTATGTAATTTGTACTAAGCAGCAGTGCCCTCTACCGCCACACTTGGTGATACAGCCTATCAGGACCTCTGATGACTGACCAGAGGATATTACCCATGATCCCTGGCTTCCTGAATAAGAAGAGCTAACACTCTAACAAATAAACCGAGCTCTATTTAGAAGTCTTCATATATTTAAAGTTTGCTTGCTGAGTATTGGAGTTAAATTTTGGTTTTAATGAATTTTAGGCCTTGTTGATCTACAGTGCAGCATTTCTCTTGCTGGGCCTGATTCTGCTGTGTCTGTCAGTCAATTACACACTTCTCACAGGAGATCCTCTCTGCTCACTCAAGTTATATTGAGCAACACCAGACTTTCAGGATGAGCAGTGGGAATCAAAGCAGCACCATTCTACTGAATCCAAATCAGTGGACCATCAAACTAATCTTCAAACTGTTATTTTAAAGTAATACAATGCAAAGTGTTGCTTTAATCCATACTTCACACTGTTTTGTCTAAACTGAGCATGTTTACACGTTCAAAAGCTGAAGTAAATTCAAAGATTTGACTAAAAAAGTTTGATACCCGTCCTGACGGGACCATCCCTTCTCAAATCTGTCATACACAAGTTTTGTGCTCTAATTCTATCAGTTAGATTAGTTCTTAAGTACTTTCAAGAGTATCTTCAATCCTCAATTATTCTTAAAACACATGTCATGTAACTGTCTGCATACAAAGACTCCATCACCATCTTTTTTCCTATTGTGTCC